AAAAAAAAAAAAAAAAAAAGAAATGTCTTTCTACCTGGAGTGTCCTTATATCCTGAAAAATATTCTCTGTTTCCTGTCTGTTGGATTCTGAAGACATGATGAAAGGTTCCACAGACCAAGACTCATCCATCATGGTGAAATGCAAAAATTAATGGGGAAAATATGTTGGTTTTTACCTTTTGTACAGAGCAGCAGTGATGATTAGGATACAAGTCAGGCTTCAGAGAGAGAGAAAAAAAGTGTTCCTTTTATTTCAACAAAGATCATTTGCATTTCTCTCTGGACACGCACTTAAATGAAGGTTCTTTCCTGAAATTTTGGTAGTACATCTACATCCTCAGCTGTTTTTTTTTTTTTTTTTTTTTTGTAATTAAACAAATAACAAGAATGTATCTGAAAGGTCGGGGTAGGGCACTTCAGCAATTGTTAACACAAAAGACCTGGTTGCTCACTCCTTGAACATTTCTCCAGGGAAACTTGAAACCGTAATTGAGGCTTGGACAATTATCAGTAATGTGACCCTTGGAAGATCACATTAATGATTAATAATTTTCTTATATACACCTTGAACAGCTGATTGTGCCATACTGGCTCATCAGGATTGCTTTGTACAAATATCAAGATTGATGATGCACACTTGGGTTTCATTGTTGGGGCCCGGAGTTTCCAATGCCATGACTAGTTACATAGAAAAATGTGGCTATGTGACTAGCCCTTCAGAAAACTTCAGACTCTGAGTCTCTATCAGGCTTCTCTGGGCAGAGACTCTTAGCACATGTCCCAGAGGTTAATAAGCAAGAGAAAAAGCAAATCCTGTGTGATCCCAGACAAAGGAGGACTTGGAAGCTTGTGCCTGACTTCTCTGAACTCTACTCACTGCATATGTTTTCCTGCCAACCATGAGTATAACCTTCTCCTCCTGGGACTTATGAGTCCTTCTAGCAAATCAGCAAACGTCAAGTAATCTTCAGTCCTTCAAAACAACAATATAACTACAGATAACAACATAA